GAGTCGAACCCGATACCTTCCAGATGCCAGGCGTTTGCCTATCCACTAGACCAATGTGTCACACTGGTAATCTCCATGTATTTTTTTTCATATTAATACTTCTTGTTGTAGATGTAGCAAAAGAGGTATTCTAACTAATTCAGAGAGCCGCTTGTTAAAGAAAGAGTATCAAATGTTATTTTCTCCTTTGTTGAGGAGGAAATGGAAATTAAAATGATACCGTTTTAAAAACCAGTTAGATATGGTTTTTGGACAAGAAGCATGAGATAATTCATTGCGCGGCAATCTGGACTGTATTTGAAACAGAGCATCCAATATTCCTGATAGTTAATAGTATACTGTCAATGAAAAAATATAACTAAAAAAATTAATAATATTGGACCTCTTTACCCAAGGCTGTGTGTCTTTGTCGAGCACAAAATGATTCTGCTCGGGTATGCAGGCCAGTTGTTAGCCCATATTGGGCTTGAATCAACTCGCGAAGTTAGGGCGCTCTCATATGAGAAGTAAAACCTTGCCCATCATTGAATTCATGTTGTAAAGTTGTTTACAGACTCGAAAAGGAAGGCATGGGAGTGTACAGAGTGAATAAAAGGAAGAAAGTAATGTAGTTTAAAAATTGGACATGGCTTTGGGGCTAACGCTACTGGCCACTGGCTACGCTGACGACCGCCAGCTAGGTGACGACTGTGTCAAAAAAAAAGAAAAAAAAAGACCCCCAAAGGGGCTCCCTTACACTCTTTCCTACACTCAGCTGCTCCCCCCTCACCATAGGCCCTTTCTTCAATTTTGTTTGAGGAATCCATTGACATATTGAGATTTGGAACCCTTTCCCATACATCAACATTACTGCCAACAATAATTATTTTATCACTCTTTGAGTGAGATAAAAATGGGTTTAACATCAGTTTTTATTTTTCAAAGATTTATAAAAAAAATTAAATTTTTTTTTTTTAAAAGCACTAAAAACGCTGGGAGTCGAACCCGATACCTTCCAGATGCCAGGCGTTTGCCTATCCACTAGACCAATGTGTCACACTGGTAATCTCCATGTATTTTTTTTCACATTAATACTTCTTGTTGTAGATGTAGCAAAAGAGGTATTCTAACTAATTCAGAGAGCCGCTTGTTAAAGAAAGAGTATCAAATGTTATTTTCTCCTTTGTTGAGGAGGAAATGGAAATTAAAATGATACCGTTTTAAAAACCAGTTAGATATGGTTTTTGGACAAGAAGCATGAGATAATTCATTGCGCGGCAATCTGGACTGTATTTGAAACAGAGCATCCAATATTCCTGATAGTTAATAGTATACTGTCAATGAAAAAATATAACTAAAAAAATTAATAATATTGGACCTCTTTACCCAAGGCTGTGTGTCTTTGTCGAGCACAAAATGATTCTGCTCGGGTATGCAGGCCAGTTGTTAGCCCATATTGGGCTTGAATCAACTCGCGAAGTTAGGGCGCTCTCATATGAGAAGTAAAACCTTGCCCATCATTGAATTCATGTTGTAAAGTTGTTTACAGACTCGAAAAGGAAGGCATGGGAGTGTATAGAGTGAATAAAAGGAAGAAAGTAATGTAGTTTAAAATTGGACATGGCTTTGGGGCTAACGCTACCGGCCACTGGCTACGCTGACGACCGCCAGCTAGGTGACGACCGTGTCAAAAAAAGAAAAAAAAAAGACCCCCAAAGGGGCTCCCTTACACTCTTTCCTACACTCAGCTGCTCCCCCCTCACCATAGGCCCTTTCTTCAATTTTGTTTGAGGAATCCATTGACATATTGAGATTTGGAACCCTTTCCCATACATCAACATTACTGCCAACAATAATTATTTTATCACTCTTTGAGTGAGATAAAAATGGGTTTAACATCAGTTTTTATTTTTCAAAGATTTATAAAAAAAATTAAAAAAAAAAAAAAAAAAAAGCACTAAAAAAGCTGGGAGTCGAACCCGATACCTTCCAGATGCCAGGCGTTTGCCTATCCACTAGACCAATGTGTCACACTGGTAATCTCCATGTATTTTTTTTCATATTAATACTTCTTGTTGTAGATGTAGCAAAAGAGGTATTCTAACTAATTCAGAGAGCCGCTTGTTAAAGAAAGAGTATCAAATGTTATTTTCTCCTTTGTTGAGGAGGAAATGGAAATTAAAATGATACCGTTTTAAAAACCAGTTAGATATGGTTTTTGGACAAGAAGCATGAGATAATTCATTGCGCGGCAATCTGGACTGTATTTGAAACAGAGCATCCAATATTCCTGATAGTTAATAGTATACTGTCAATGAAAAAATATAACTAAAAAAATTAATAATATTGGACCTCTTTACCCAAGGCTGTGTGTCTTTGTCGAGCACAAAATGATTCTGCTCGGGTATGCAGGCCAGTTGTTAGCCCATATGGGCTTGAATCAACTCGCGAAGTTAGGGCGCTCTCATATGAGAAGTAAAACCTTGCCCATCATTGAATTCATGTTGTAAAGTTGTTTACAGACTCGAAAAGGAAGGCATGGGAGTGTACAGAGTGAATAAAAGGAAGAAAGTAATGTAGTTTAAAAATTGGACATGGCTTTGGGGCTAACGCTACTGGCCACTGGCTACGCTGACGACCGCCAGCTAGGTGACGACTGTGTCAAAAAAAGAGAAATAAAAGACCCCCAAAGGGCTCCCTTACACTCTTTCCTACACTCAGCTGCTCCCCCCTCACCATAGGCCCTTTCTTCAATTTTGTTTGAGGAATCCATTGACATATTGAGATTTGGAACCCTTTCCCATACATCAACATTACTGCCAACAATAATTATTTTATCACTCTTTGAGTGAGATAAAAATGGGTTTAACATCAGTTTTTATTTTTCAAAGATTTATAAAAAAAATTAAAAAAAAAAAAAAAAAAAAGCACTAAAAAGCTGGGAGTCGAACCCGATACCTTCCAGATGCCAGGCGTTTGCCTATCCACTAGACCAATGTGTCACACTGGTAATCTCCATGTATTTTTTTTCATATTAATACTTCTTGTTGTAGATGTAGCAAAAGAGGTATTCTAACTAATTCAGAGAGCCGCTTGTTAAAGAAAGAGTATCAAATGTTATTTTCTCCTTTGTTGAGGAGGAAATGGAAATTAAATGATACCGTTTTAAAAACCAGTTAGATATGGTTTTTGGACAAGAAGCATGAGATAATTCATTGCGCGGCAATCTGGACTGTATTTGAAACAGAGCATCCAATATTCCTGATAGTTAATAGTATACTGTCAATGAAAAATATAACTAAAAAATTAATAATATTACACCTCTTTACCCAAGGCTGTGTGTCTTTGTCGAGCACAAAATGATTCTGCTCGGGTATGCAGGCCAGTTGTTAGCCCATATTGGGCTTGAATCAACTCGCGAAGTTAGGGCGCTCTCATATGAGAAGTAAAACCTTGCCCATCATTGAATTCATGTTGTAAAGTTGTTTACAGACTCGAAAAGGAAGGCATGGGAGTGTACAGAGTGAATAAAAGGAAGAAAGTAATGTAGTTTAAAAATTGGACATGGCTTTGGGGCTAACGCTACTGGCCACTGGCTACGCTGACGACCGCCAGCTAGGTGACGACTGTGTCAAAAAAAAGAAATAAAAAGACCCCCAAAGGGGCTCCCTTACACTCTTTCCTACACTCAGCTGCTCCCCCCTCACCATAGGCCCTTTCTTCAATTTTGTTTGAGGAATCCATTGACATATTGAGATTTGGAACCCTTTCCCATACATCAACATTACTGCCAACAATAATTATTTTATCACTCTTTGAGTGAGATAAAAATGGGTTTAACATCAGTTTTTATTTTTCAAAGATTTATAAAAAAAATTAAATTTTTTTTTTTAAAAAAGCACTAAAAACGCTGGGAGTCGAACCCGATACCTTCCAGATGCCAGGCGTTTGCCAATCCACTAGACCAATGTGTCACACTGGTAATCTCCATGTATTTTTTTTCATATTAATACTTCTTGTTGTAGATGTAGCAAAAGAGGTATTCTAACTAATTCAGAGAGCCGCTTGTTAAAGAAAGAGTATCAAATGTTATTTTCTCCTTTGTTGAGGAGGAAATGGAAATTAAAATGATACCGTTTTAAAAACCAGTTAGATATGGTTTTTGGACAAGAAGCATGAGATAATTCATTGCGCGGCAATCTGGACTGTATTTGAAACAGAGCATCCAATATTCCTGATAGTTAATAGTATACTGTCAATGAAAAAATATAACTAAAAAAATTAATAATATTGGACCTCTTTACCCAAGGCTGTGTGTCTTTGTCGAGCACAAAATGATTCTGCTCGGGTATGCAGGCCAGTTGTTAGCCCATATTGGGCTTGAATCAACTCGCGAAGTTAGGGCGCTCTCATATGAGAAGTAAAACCTTGCCCATCATTGAATTCATGTTGTAAAGTTGTTTACAGACTCGAAAAGGAAGGCATGGAAGTGTACAGAGTGAATAAAAGGAAGAAAGTAATGTAGTTTAAAAATTGGACATGGCTTTGGGGCTAACGCTACCGGCCACTGGCTACGCTGACGACCGCCAGCTAGGTGACGACCGTGTCAAAAAAAAGAAAAAAAAAGACCCCCAAAGGGGCTCCCTTACACTCTTTCCTACACTCAACTGCTCCCCCCTCACCATAGGCCCTTTCTTCAATTTTGTTTGAGGAATCCATTGACATATTGAGATTTGGAACCCTTTCCCATACATCAACATAACTGCCAACAATAATTATTTTATCACTCTTTGAGTGAGATAAAAATGGGTTTAACATCAGTTTTTATTTTTCAAAGATTTATAAAAAAAATTACAAAAAATATTAAAAAAAGCACTAAAAAAGCTGGGAGTCGAACCCGATACCTTCCAGATGCCAGGCGTTTGCCTATCCACTAGACCAATGTGTCACACTGGTAATCTCCATGTATTTTTTTTTCATATTAATACTTCTTGTTGTACACTCTAAAAACAGAAGTGCTAAAAAACGAGTGCTAAATACGAGTTAGCACCTGGGGGGTTATTTCTAGCACCTCAAGTGCCATTTACTTCTGGGAAATGATGATGTGCAAACAAATTGGTGCTGAAATTAAGTGCTGAATATCAAAGACGCTAGTTTTGCACTTGAAGTGCTGACCAGCAAAGGAGTTGGTCCAGTGGTGTTAGCTGGATGTGCAAGGACGCACCTGTAGTGCTAGTTTAACCGGGATCGGTCGGAGCCAGCATGCAGCGCACGTGGCTTGTATGTACTGTCCTATACGTAGACCGACTGCATGTATGCGGTACCGGTACCGGCCCCGAGATCAAGACTTGTCTGTACATGTTTTTATTACACGTTCCTTTTGCATTCGCCTGCCCTTTATATAGCAGAAAACATGGTAAGTTAGACGTACGTTAATTGTAGAAATTTAGTTAATTTCATACTTGTGATTATAAAGCAACAAATGCAGATTTATAAACTAGAAAGTGGGAAGTAAATTGTGTGCAATTTAAGACCAGCCATACACAATTAACGCTATGTAACAGTAATACGCTGTCGCTTCGGGACAGTTGGGCTAGCGGACCGGCTATATATAAAACGTATAGCTAGCTGCAGCTAATGGGTCGCAACAATCGAAATAGCGGAACTTCACGAGCAGCCATGCCGTTAGCTACCCATGACTTGAACGTGTGCTAGGTGCGCGCCGTACCGGTTACATCCATATCCGCGAAGCTGGTGCCGCGACGCTCTCAAAGACATCGATTAAACTCTCCAAAGAGGGCTTAAATGTTGATCAAATATTTCAACAGACCATCGAGGGATAAAGACAAAGTGCAGTGAGTAATACAAACTAATTTAGTTGAGTTTAAAGACAAATAAAGCGTTGAAAAAAAAAAAAAAAAATAGGTACGAAAAAAATTAAAAAGGAGTAGGCCTAGGCCTAGTCTACGAAAGCACAGTAGCGCCGTTCTAATTTATGCAAAACAACGTGGTCTTCACTCCAAAATGTTAACATTCATGTTTTGATTCAATTCTTGAATCTTGTCCGCTCCAATTAAATTTTGCGTATATAGTCAGTCTTTACTCACGGCTTTTTATAATCAATGTTATGTTCTCTCTTGATTCATTCAACAAAGATTTGCACACTTTTTTGTCCAATGTGTCACTGCACTATGTAATAATGTTTGCTTCTTTATTTTAGATTCTTGACGTTGTACAAGAAACGAGCATTGGCAGCTAGAGTAAGTATCACAGAATTACATTCCAGAAGAAGTCCAAAAGATTACACGCACAAATACAAAGTCTATTAAAATAAATCTTAAACTAATTATCACCAAGTTACATAAACTAAACAGATGAAAATACAAGCACAAGCATGGGTTACATATGCTTCAAATGTAATATCAGGATACCAGGACCTGTATCAAATTTAGTCAGCCATTTGCACATGGCACATGCTTTATTTGACCTGAAAAATCTCCACCTAGTGTGTAGTCAAGGAGGATGCCCATCATCATTCAAAACATTTAATTCATTTAGAAAACATATTGTTAGGTCACATCCCTTTGATGAGGCTGACCATGAGGAAAATATACCCATTAGGTATGGCAATAGAGAAGACGATGAAGATTCTGATGTAGATGATGATGTGGAGTTTGGACGTAATGTGGAAAACAATGAGGATGACATGAATGATGACATTTCTAAGAGTGCAGCAAGATTTCTTGCTGGTCTTCTTTCAGAGACTAATATGACTTATGCTTCTATGCAAAGAATTGTTTCTAGTACCTCAGAATTAAATCAGGAAGTTGTAAACAATTTGAGGAGAAGAATTGTTGATGCTCTCGGTAGGGTAGGATTACAGGAAGGTTCTGAACAATACGAGACTATCATATCCGAGTTTGATAGAGAGACTCGTTTGTATGAGGGTCTCAGTTCTAGGTATAGTCAGGAAAAATTCATCCATGATCATCTAAACATTGTCCAGCCTCAGAGTATATTTCTTGGATTTCGTCATGATGTTCGCACAGATAAACAAACTGGGCAAACAAAAGAAGTGCTCGTGCGAGAAACTTTTCAGTATATTCCTGTTCTGTCAACCTTGGGTATGATTCATGGAAGTGAAGTTGCAAGTCACGAAATTGAAGTAGGACACTGCAGCAATGATGGAATATTGCGAGACTTTTGTGATGGTGATCACTACAGAAATCATCCTCTGTTCTCTAATGGGCAAGCAATTCAAATCTGCCTCTACTTTGATGAATTCGAGGTAGTGAATCCTCTTGGGTCTAAAAGGGGGATTCATAAGATTGCAGCATTTTACTACACCCTGAAAAATCTGCCTCCATGGATGAATTCATCGTTGGATAATGTTCATCTACTTGCTTTTTGTAATTGTATCGACCTAAAGAAATATGGCTTTGATGCAGTTTTGGCCCCCTTTGTGGATGAAGTTAAGAAGTTGGAGACAGAGGAAGGAGCACAAATTGTCCTGCCAGACAAATCTGTGAAAACAGTGCGAGGGACACTCGCTCAGGTTTGTGGGGATAATCTTGGCCTGAACGGATTGCTAGGATTTGTTGAAAGCTTTTCTGCCAACAGGCCTTGCAGGACCTGCTTAGGTCAGAGGGAAGAATTTCAGACAAGGTTTCTTGGAGAAGAATTTGAACTGAGAAATAGAGAGAGTCATGGGGAACATGTTGAGGCTTCTCAGCAAAATGCAGCAGCTGTCTCTCAGACTGGTGTTAAGAGGAATTCCATTCTCAATTCACTTCAGTTTTATCATGTCGCTCAAAATGTTGTGCCAGACATCATGCATGATGTGCTAGAGGGTGTTGGTCCAATGGAGGTGAAATTGGTTTTACATCAATTTATATATGTGGACAATTTTTTCACTCTCGATACTTTGAATTCACACATATCCAGTCACTCCTATGGGTTTTGTGATCAGAAAAACAAACCATCTTGTATTCTTGAATCAACCTTGAAAAATAAAGACAACTCCTTGAAGCAGCATGCAAGCCAGATGTGGTGTCTCCTGCGTGTTTTGCCTCTCCTGATTGGTTCATTCATCCCACGCGGCAATTTGCATTGGAGCTTGATCTTATTGTTGAGGACCATTGTAGATGTTGTATTTTCAGATTCAGTCACAGAAGGGCTGATTATATATTTGAAACACCTCATCCATGAACATCACACTTTGTTTCGACAGGTGTTTCCCAATGTGAACCTTCTCCCCAAACACCATTTTATGGTGCATTATCCTATGGCTATGAAAAAAATGGGACCACTTATCAATCTATGGTCAATGAGATTTGAAGCAAAACATAGTTGTAGTAAGAGGCTAGCAGGGGTAGTCGGTTGCTTCAAAGATTTCTGTTTGACTGCAGCAGCAAGACACCAGGTTAGCCATTGTAGTGCATGGTCTCAACAGGGTCAAGGAAATCCCACAGCTGAAGTTGAAGATGTTGTTGCATGTTCCGTTGCTGAGATAGCTTACTTTCCTGCTCTTGTTGATGAACTCCCTGGACTTCGTCGCACAGATGATGCATTCTTGGCACAAAGAATAACACATTTAGGAACTACCTACAGGTGTAGTTCAGTAGTTGTGTTAGACATTGGCACTGAATTGCCCACCTTTGGTCAAATTTCCAACTCTGTCATTGTAAGAGAGACTGTCTTCTTAACAGGATATTTGTTGAAAGCTGAATACTTTGATGAACATCTCCATTGCTACATTGTGAATGAAACTGATGAAATGTTCTTTACACGTCCAGGTAGTTTGAAGAGTTTCCGTACCCTACATTTAAACAGGTATGGGGAAAAGATGGCCATTATTCCAAGGAATCACATCTTATGTAAGACCTGAATAAATGGTGCTCGTTGTCAAAACCTATACCTGGTACATCAATTGTTCTTGCAAAAAGGCAAATTAAATGTAATGTTCTCAACTTCTCACCATCTTATTTTTTGAATGGAATTTCTTTTTATTCATTTCATTCTCATTTCCTACAGGATTATCAATGCCAGGAGATCAGAGCAATTTATATGTTATACAAATTGAGGGTGCTGTAAATTTTCTATTGCTGATTATCGAGGCATATAAAGAAAATGTAATAACAAAAGAAGAATTAGTGAATTTCTTAGTTCAGTTTTTATACCAGCATTGAACCCAAATAATGGATCTCAAAAGAATGTATGTTACGTACAATGGGGACCAAAACAGTGATAGGAAAAAGCTAGTAAAGTTGGACACGACTGATTTCGATAGCATGACATTCAAAATCAAACAAACATTCGCCCTTCCAATGGACGAAAAGTATGCATTCCACGGCCGTGTAGAAGCCAGTGGACCACTCGTTGAACTGGATGAACATGACAGCGAAATCCTGGATGAGTTAATCGAGGTCTCCTTCAACAGATGCGGAGGTTCCTCTCGGGGTGTACCTGTAAGTACCGAAATACTTGCTTTTTTCCAAATAATAACTGAAGTGTAAATATCTGCAATGAATATTGGCAGAATACCATAGAATGAAGGAATTTGTCTGCGATGGACTGTAATTACTGTATGCACAAATCATGTTAATTAAAATACATGTTTTTAAGATTAATACTACTACAGTATTGACTCTATAGAGATTATGCAGTGGATACATTGGCAGTTTTCTTCCCAACTTCTACTTTTTCTTTACTTTTCTGGTACATCTCTCCACCCTCCACTTGTCCTTCTATGTACCAAGCTCTTTAAATAAATTAGGCATTTTCTAAAATCCCCTCTTTTGTATAATTCATGTTGTTCATATTACTGTTTTATTGCTATGAACACCAGCAAAATGATGCAGAAATTAAAGAAAATCAAATCACACAAAGATCTCTTTAAAGGTAGTAGCCCACATAAGCAAAACACCGTTTTTTATTTTCAAAAGAAATAAGGTCATTCCAATTTAAAAGGACAGATCATGATGTAAAACTATCATGTCATCAAATTCAAACAAATACTGCAAAGTTAGAGGGGAAAATTAATGTTTTTTTCTCTAAAAGCATTGGGATGACCCCTTTTAGAAAACGAAGAAAATAAAAGAAAATTAAGCATTTTTGTTTCTCACCCCTAACGGAAATGAACTTGGAATTACCTATCTGCAGAAGGACATTTATGCAGATTGGTGGCCCTGTGCAAATGTGTGCTACTACCTTGAACACCAGAATTGAATAGAGCTTAGCAAGTCTGTATTTCAAGTCACAATTTTACATAACGAATTGCAGATTGTACCAGAGAGTGATTCTGACATAGAGATGTGTTCCAACATATTTCTGCAAGGATGTTCATCAGATGTCTCATCTGGGGTGTCCTTTTCATCTCCTGTCCAGTTGAAGGTACTCAGGAGTACTTGCAGTGTGATTTCATTTTGAAAGAAACTGCCCATAAACCATTCTTTTATTGTTCATTTCTCAGTAGATGAAATCCTTGTGCATAACAATGTTAGTGAGAATAGGAGAGATTCTAAAGAGATATTGAAATCACAATGTTGGCATAGTACAAACAATAAGTAAAAAGCATATTAAATGGGACTGTAATAAAAATGAATTGTATTTGCTGAGCAGCAAGCACAAAATTGTTGTAATATTTTTACTTCATATTCTGCAAATATTCAGCACACTTAAAAGTGAAATATTTTTATGTAACATTGTATACATAAGATGCTTTCAGGTGTGAAACAAACAGATGGGAACTGCCCCAAAAGATTTGTTATCCATTATTGGTCAATATGCCAGATTCCGTGGTGTTGTTTCAAGCAGGATGTCAATGAGTAACACATAACCTAAACGTTTCTTCTCATTTGCTTTCGTTTTTCTTTCTTTTTTTTGGCAGTGGCTAACACATAGGCCTACACATAGATTGTTACGTGTGGAAAAACAATTTATTTAGATTTTTTTATGTAAGAACAATACATGTGCTCAAAATAATCAATTTGATAATTATTGACTTTTCACCATCTAATTTCATTTCACTTATTTAAACATTTGTTTTGAAATAAAGGTATCAAATTAAGAAGTGCAAACAAGTATTACAAATTATGAACTTCAAAAGAAGTGTGTGTAAATCCTATAATCATCCAGCTCTCTGAGATTAACAAAACATTTATTTTTAATGCAGGTGTCTACATTGGCAGCAGGGACAATCTTTCTTTTTTTCTTAAATATACAGGAATATTTGTTTGTTTTCTATCCTAATGGATGTTTTATGGTGTAAATTGCAGTTCGTGGCTGACACCGATTCTGATCTGTCTGGGGATTCTCCCTTGTTGATTCCTCCATCGCCGCCACCTTGCAGCATGCTGCTATCAGACTGTTCTTCAGATGCCTCGCCTCAGATGTCCTCATCCCATCACAAGACATCATTCATGGTGAACCCATCTCCTCTCTCCTCAATTAAGGTCAGGATTCAGTTTCAAGGCAATAAATACCGTTTACATGAAAAAGTTGAGTTTTCAAAGATGTTATTAAATAGAAATTTAAGTTCCATTGAAAAGTCTCAAATTGCACTTCCTGTTTATTATCGTTGTTTTATTTCAAATGAAAACATTGACTTCAAGTCATTGCATAATCCAATGAACATCAAACTGTTAATGAGCACATTCAGGAGGAGGGTGACAATCCACCTCCCATTCCTTTTAAGAAAAGATATTTTTTGAAATTTCGCTGTTAGTGCTTTCAATGGCAAGAGTTGTATAGTGATTTGAGCGAATGTGCAGAATTACTGGTGACTGGTGTGCATTGAGACACCCGGGTCTATTGCTATTTGATCTTATTTCAGTGCAGATATTACACAGGGTGTACTCACTTTTGTTGCCACTTTTTATTAAGTTATCCATATTTTGTAATATAAGTTAAGAATATTTGTTTGTCTCAATTCATGTCCTTCAATGGCCATTTTACAATCTCTGTGAAACTTCTGTGAAACTCATAAAAAAAACAATGTAAACAGTTACATTCAAATTATGAAATGTTCATGTTGGATGTATTCACTTTTGTTGGATACTGCTTCATGCTGCAGATTGTGCCAGAGAGTAATTCAGCTATGCCAGGGACATCACTGTCAAGTTCCAGCGTGCTGCTGCCGAGTTGCTCCTCAGATGTCCCGCTTCAGATGTCCTCATCCCATCACAGGACATCATCCATGGTGAACCCATCTTCTCTCCCCTCCGATAAGAAGGTCAGGATTCAGTTTCACTCAGTCAAACTAAATTATTATCTTTGCATGAATTATCTGAAACTAATAGGGTTTGATATTGCAACTTTTGTTTTATAAAACTTTTGCATTATTCCAAATGTTTGTGGTACAACAGTGAAAAAAATACCAGTACCACCAATTGCTATGCAAAAATAAGTCCAGGCTGATGTTATTCTTAACCATCAAGTTCCCAGCTCTTCCCTGAATGTGCATATCACTGATTATACCCCGCCAAATAAAGTGTTAAAATGGGGTATACACAAATCAGTCTGTTGTCGAAGCAGTTGGTCTTGCCATTGCAAATTCTGCGGATCGAACTACTGCCCCAGATTGCAAGCAATGCTCATTAAATTTAGCACACACGCATCAATTAGTCTTGGAGTGAACATGTGCAAGCCCATATTTCTTGAATACGTTGGAAACTGAATTGGGGGCCATCTACAAAGTACGTACGCAATTTTTGGTCCGAAATTGACCCCCTTCCCCCCCCCCCCTGTACGCACTTTTTATACACGTGGTTCAATGGAGGGTACGCATAAGATTTTACCCCCCCCTGTGCGTACGTACTTTGTAGATGGCCCCTTGCCATGGTCACATCACATTAGGCAGGCATATTAATCAAACTTGATATGAAAGTTATAGAGAAGGTAGGCAGAGTATACAATAGGGGTGGCATATAATCGTTGATTGGTTTGTTGCCATGACAACCCAATATTAAGTATTTTAGTTAAAGTAAATGGGAGGCTGTATGATTACTTATTCTGTTTTCATGCCACACCCCCCCCCCCCCCCCCCCTCTATAGGGTGCAGAAAGTATTATGTTTTTGGTTGATACTGTGAGAGCCAAATAACACCTTTACTCATGGCGGTATTTACTATTTAGAGAGGTGGAGACATCCCAATCAACTCTTAGGAGTCAAATGAGTTTGGGGCAGGGCAATTCCTCATTCGGTTTTCAGGGGATCCCATAAATGAGGCAAAAACAGAATCTGGACCATTGCTGAATTTTACTCTTTATACAGTACTGAATGTAGAAACACGTAATCATTATTTTCTATGTTTCTTCCTTTAAATTTTCAGCTAGATTTTGACATGAAGAAAATATTAGAGGGTCACAACAGAGGTGCATCCATACTTGAGGAGTATAATAGGCTCAGGCTCATCTCCCCCACAACTAGGAAGCAGGTCATCAGCATCATGGCAGCAGAGTTAGTGGCAGTATGTGGATAGTGAGTAAATTATTATGCCTTTTGATTTGCATGATAGGTTAACTTTTGTACTTCTGTTTTGTACACATATTTGTATCTTAAAGGTAATAGCACACACTGGCGTAGCGTGTTACGTAATACTCATTCAAGTGGGGGGATGTAATCCGATGGATGAATAGCTCATCCCCCCCACTTGAATGAGTATCAATGTCATGTCTACACCCGTGATAGCACACATTAGCAAGGGGCTACCAAACTGCATAAATGTTCTTCTGCCGACAGGTTTAGGCCTAAAAAAAATGCTTGTAATTTTAGACCCCAGTACATTCCCCATTTAGCGCTGAGAAGCAAAAATTTAACGGCAAATTTATTTTATTTTCCTCATTTTCTCAAGGCCTCATCTGAGGCTTTAACCCTATTTTAACTTGGGGGGGGGGGGGGGGGGTCAAATTGACCCCCCCCCCCCCCCGTCTAATAATATCTAACTAATTTTAGCCAAATTATGCTAAGAAGAATATGTTTGATAAATTTTGTGCAAAAAAACAACGAAAACAATTGGTAAAAAAACAAAGAAATACATAAGAAATTACAAAAACAATAAGATACATAAAAAAAAAAAAAAACATTTTTTGAAATATTTTTGTGTACAATCATTTTGGATTACAAAGGGACTTTACATGCAAAAAATAAGAACTCTAGAAGCTTTATTTTGGGATTTGTAGCTAAAAATGATTTGTTTTTGCATAAATTAGCTGATATTGACGCATAAATTAGCATATTGAATTAATGTGGACAAATTTGCAGAAAAAATAACTATGCAGTCATGAAGATTACATTCCACTCTATTAGCGTGCAAATTATCGCGAGATCCATGGCCGAGATCTGAAAGGGGGTCAAATTGACCCTCCCCCCCCCCCAGTAATTACGTGGTCTGAAGTAGCCCAGTTAAAATAGGGTTAAGAGAAAAGCAAATTATTTCTCACTAGACTTTGCAATATTGCTGTGATTTTGATAACGTGATAGTTTTACATCATGATCTGTGATTTCAAATTGAAATGAGCTTATTTCTTTTCAAAATCCAAAACGGTATTTTGCAAATGTGGGCTACTTACTACCTTTAATCTTTAAATTGGATGGTGATCGATGCACTAAATCATGCAATATGGACCCTTTGCAAAGAGCTTAAGCTTGACTGAATCATACATAAGCAGATCCTCAGTACTAAATACTGTTAAGACATCTTTGATAAACTTGATCTAAGGAAATAGAGAAATAATTTTTCTGTTGGCTATTGTGCACTGCAAAAAAAAGCTGGTTTTATCTGTTTAACATTGGCCAATAAATGGTTGTTACATTGTAACTAATTTTGCACGCGTGTAAAGATCTTGCACACACATCCATGAAAAGAGACAACAGACCCTACATCTGTAAATTCTGTTTCTTTAAGACCATGCATGTACTCCCGAAGTTGCCTGCTTTTCAACATCTTGTCATGTTTCTTGCAGCTACCCCACTATGCAGCAGAAGCATGCAGTAGCCAAAGCTATTATCTCCTTCTTCCCGGAACTGAAAGATCCCACTGGAGAGACTGGATATGTAAGTATTTACAATATAATTATGTAATACCCTGTTTAAATCTAGCCCAAATGCGGCACAACCTCAAGTAGAGGACATACCGTCTATAACCTTGTCCACTTTATATTCACACACTAGCGGCACAATTTTTTTTTCCTGAACACGGGGTAAGATATGTGCTACACTGTCTAGCGTTAGTCCGTGGTAACCTCGGGATGACATTCTGTGTTTACCTTTGCCCCCCCCCCCCTTGATGTTAAATTGTTGGGGCATACAAAGCGTATGCCCGTGCATGATTTGTTGCACAAATACACTGATTTTTGTTAACAATTAAGTTTAATAGAGACCTTAAGCATTTCATATTGTATCTCACAATAAATAACAGCACAAAATATATCATATGAACAAAATATATATGCTTGCTTAGCACATTTTTTTTTTATAGTTTATTTTATACTTATATTGCGGGATGCAAAAGTAATGATTTACATACACAATGAGGCTCACAGCTGTATACTAATAATAAGTTTGTATGTGCTCTACATGTATATCAAGTTATTGAATTGCGAAGAAAGACAATGAAGCAGGTAAAGGCGTTTTTGAAATGCATGCTTATGTGGTGAGTGACACGTTGCCACAGATACATATCTCATGATAATACCAGGTGTACATTGCAATTCAAACTGTATCTTGCATCTTACCTTGTGATTTTATAGCATTAAAGAATGGTTGTCACCCATCTTTCTGAGTCAACCTTTAATGATCATATGTCATAGTTGTGGGGACAACCTTCATACAAATGAGACCAAATTTTATATGGCAAATAGTTATAAATGTGAAAGAAGTATCTAGAAGTGTTTTGGACCACAGTAATACTTATCCCAGATAAAAGCTCTAATGGGTATTTATCTCTTACATTCAACAGGAACATATCTACTGCTCTAAAGGTGGACAGTCGGGCTATTTGTTCGACAAGCTAAAAAACATCCGGAGAAATCTGCCTGACAGTGCCAGAATGAAAAGTGGCAAGGGCAAGGGCAAGGGCAAGGTCAGCACATCAAAAGGTACTACCAAAAGGCTAGAGGCTGTCCTCACGTCTGAAGAGATGAAGGAGGCAGAAGCGCTGTGTAGGAACAGCACAGATAAGAATACAGTTCGAGCAGCAATGGCCAAATGCTCCACAAGTAGACATGCATGGATCCAGGATCAGAAACCTTTCATGAAGGACATATTGCAGAGGTACCCGCGGTACAGAGACATGCCAGACCTTGTAAGTATTAATTTGACTTATATACATGTATCATAAACTCAGATGACTTTGAAGGATGGGCTGATTAAAAAAAATTAATGTAAGATTTTGTTTTGTATGTTTTTTGTGTGAATATGTTTGTATTACAAAAACAAAAGAAAATCATGATCATGATATCATGTTATCAATTTCACAGCAATACTGCAAAGTTTGAGTGGAATATTAGCAGTTTTTCTCTTAAAGCGTTGGGATGCCGCCTTTAGAAAACAAAGAAAATAAAATAAAATTTCACTTTCTCTTTCCGTTTCTTAATCCATAACGGGAATGTACCTTCATCTGAAATTTTACAAATGTTCTTCAGAGGCCCTAATATATCTTCAGAAGTACATTTATGCAGATAGGTAGCCCTTTGCAAATGTTTACTACTGCCTTTAAAAACTTTTGTTCGACCTTACCAGGGAGTTGAATGTACACTAGTGCCTGCAGTCTCCCAGTCGTGGGGCAGACCCTTACCAAATCTGTCATAACAATGGTATTTACCTAAACAGATTTAAGTTTAGTCCTCTACCATTATTAAAATTTTCTTCTTGCAGGTGCAGCAGGATTTCCAGGAGATTTACCCTGATGCCAGTGATTCCCTCCTCAAGAAATGGGATGGCCATGCCATGGCTCTTTTGGCCTATGCATCAACATGTAGGGAAGGCAAGGAGATCAATGATGAATACCATGCACTACCCAAGACCAGACAAGGTATTATATGAACTTTCATTGTAAGAACACACTGGAATATAACTTAGCCAATGAGGGTGTCCGCCTAAAACCATGCCTCCACAGGCCACGTGTACAGTACAGCAACAAATCTAAACAAAAAAGAGGCGACGCAGTCGTTGGCTATGAGGTGAATTATTTCTAGACACACTGCATTCCAAATAGTCACTTTCCCCTCATTTATATTCTTAACAGACAGCCTAGGCGGAAGCCGCACAATCCGACAGGTGCACAAAACTTACCACAAATAACTGGTACTGTCTAAAGTTCCATTCTGTTACATGTAATTGATTATCCAATTAGCCAGCTTTGTCAATGTGTATTCTTAACACCATCTTAGGCACCTGCTGTAAAGGGAGCAAGTCTTGGAGAAGGGCGTAGTAGGGATGCCTTTCACATACGCATTATGTAATGCTTTAATTAAATAGAGATTCTGAAGAACTGGTTCATATATTTATGCATCAAGGTTGGAGAGAGTATTTGCCTAACAAAGCAACACATGGAGTCAAATTTAGTTTTCATTTAAGGGCTGAATTAACATGATGTATAAAGGGAGGATAAGGGAAAGGACTAAAGATGTTTGTATACTGTGCACAGGTATTGTTTCCCCTGGATAACAATTCCCAACTGAAGGAGTAGTCTTGCACAACATGTATGACAGTCTGACCAGGAAAACCAGTCACCTGCTGGGATGTTTTTACCTTCCACTGATGGATGGAGATGGTGTGCTGTCCTGGCATGGGTTGGGTGGATCCTATTAAGGGACACCCACTACCTCTTTGGAAGCTTAAAGTGTGATGTACTAATATTAAGTAACACTTATGTTTCTGGAACTGGTAAGAGGGATAAGCATATATTGATCTTAACTGTCACACAACAAACTACTCTAATTTATATTTTATATATTTAATTTTTTTGTTAGTAATGTAGACTTTCCTCCTACTTTTTTCAACAGAACACACGCAGCTATTTGGTTTCCTGGTACTCATGAAGTTCCTCCCTTCATACAATACAAAGGGCAAAGGGCGTGTCTCACAAGCAGATATGGAACATTGCATTGTGCACTTCCATGACGTAAGTGTTGTGCTGCTAGTATTTCAAGTGTTTTAAATACAAGAAAATGACATGCTGGTAAATATACATTTGCACCAGTCAATGGCTTAATTTACAGGGGTGACACATCACTTTGGTAAGATTTATATTCGTCTGTACAGTATAGATACGATTTGATATAAGTACAGCTTCAGTTGATACAATGGGATCTTTGTTTAAGTAGGGGAGGGAAGTTGAGAATTGGGCCAACAGAAGTGAAAATACATGAATTAAGAAAGTAAATGAGACAGTGATGGAAGCATGCACAAACACACACACACACACAAATGTTCTCCAAGTGTATGAGACATTTAAATCAATATGGGACAGACATGCGCACTCTGAAGATGTGCAGTGTCAAGCAGGAGCTCTATTAAAAAAAATTTAAAAAAAGGCTCACATACATTCACGTATGACCAGTACAATTGAATGGCATTGTCTAAATACATTTTTGTTATCTTTTCCTTCTTGTCTTACTGAGCGATATTGTTATTTATTTTTGTGTGTGTGTGCTACAGGTCCACAGGCCTGTGACTGAATGCTTGAAGGACACGGCCACGAGACAGCCCTCCTTGCTAGTGAAGGGCACAAACAACAACGTTGAAGAGATCTTCCTTCAGATAGAAGAGTATGCATGCCCTCTCCACACACCAAACATTGTCAACGCATTTGACATCCTCTTCAAGAGTTACTATGTGTACAACCTTGCTTACCCCGTCCCAGCTTCTATCTTCTATCTGTATCTCCAGACTCAAATCTTCGGATTGCACCATGATGGCAAACTGCCACCTGCCATCATAGAAATAGCATCAGCAGTGAATGCTGCAAAGAAATGACATTTTACATCTGAAACCATCTGAAAACGTCTGATTTGCAAAGTTTTTCAGGCAGTTATTTTTTTTTTAAGGACCTCCTTCGTTTTCCTTGCAGCAGCAGGGTGCTAAACAAGGTTCACATATTTTCCTTGTTTCTTGCATTTCAATTAAGAGTATCTCTTAAATACAAAAATTAAACAAAAAAATCCCTATGACACATGTCAAAATGATATTAAATGTCATTCCAAACTGATAAAAATGACTCTAGAATGTAAGATTTTGAGCAAGAAATTAATGGATTATGCCTGTCACCTTTCTCCACTTTCAGTTGCTAAACCAAACTGCAAAGAGCGATGGGCGCAGCCATTACTTACAGTTATGTTTAATTCTGTGACATCATATCCAACCAAATAACAGACTTCTTTTGTAAAAAGTCACTGATCTGTACAAAGGTGATCAGTGAGTTGTTTAGTAATGACATCACAGATGTGAACAGGAATGTAAGTAATGGCTGCACCCATTGCTCTCTGCAGTGTTTGGTTTTATAGCAACTTGAAGTGGAGAAAGTGGCAGGCATATAACCGATTACTTTCATGTCCAAATCTTACATTCTAGAATCATTTTTATCTGCTTGGACTGGCGTTTAATTAGCATCAATTTGACATGGACTTCTTTGGGAAAACTCATGGAAAAACTTCCTTTAAAGCACAAAGATAGTTTTGGTAAATCTAAAAAACTTTCAAAAACATTCTTCGCAGAAATTCTAGTATTTGATCATGATTAAGAAGGCAAGTTATCGAGTAATAAGGGTTTGCTACTTTGCCTTAATTTTTTTTTTTTTTTTTAAATAATTTACTTGAATTATCTTTTTTGTTATGTCGGAGGACCTCTGAACAAATCTATGCATGTTATCAGCTTTACTTTACAAGGGGTAGTTAAAATAAATCGTAACTATAATTTCGGTTCAATGTGTGAAAGTTGTTCAGAAATACTTTGGAAGGTGTTTTATCAAATATAGAAGAAGTTTTATTTTTATAAATTTTATTTACCAAAACTATCTTTGCTTTAATATAGGCCTATTTTTTGGCACTGAAACTCTCCAAGTAGTTATCTGAATAAATGTTCAAACCCACTTTTCAGACATTATAGTAGTGCATATTAGGTTGATATGTGGTAAGAGAAGTAATCGTGTTGTGAACATGTTTATTTAATGTTAATGTTATGATGTACCTTTCCATTTTTTATAGTTCTGTGTACATAAAACTTGCACTGCTGATAAAATCAGCTCTGAAATTATTAATAATTTTCTTTCATTCCCTCTCTTTTCAATGTTTTAACCCCAATCCCACTGGGTTATTTTGGTCACTTGAGTCCATTGGGGGGGGGGGGGGGCATCCGACGCCCCGACGGTCTAGACGCACGACGAAAAGACCCCCCCCCCCCCCCCCAATGGGATTAGGGTTAATCATAACAATAGTACCTTAATAATGTGTAAGGCATATGTCCATGCTTCTTTATGCATGCACACTTTAGTGCCTATTGACATAGCTTTGTATTTAGAGGAGTAATGTTTTGAACATGTACAGTTTAATGCCGACAAAATCAGTTTTGGCATTTGTGATTGTCATTTTATGTCTCCACTCAGAAGGGTGGATGAGGCATCACTTCTTTTTGGTTGTCTATTTATCTGCATATCTATCTATATCATATGTCAGAAATGATTTGATTGAAATTGATGGGAATGTGAAAAATCAAGACAAAATATTGATTGAGCAAATTGGGTCAAAGGTTAAAAGTTTCACTAAGTTTTGATTTTGAAGGTTTTACTTCACATATTAGTGTCTAGTGATGATGCAAATTAGTAGTTGAACATGTGTAAAAGAAATTAGCCTTGTTAACACGATGAAAGCCAAGTTCATAAGAATTGCAATTCTTAAGAACTTCAAAATGTATGTCCACACAATGGCAGATCTCGCGAGTTGCAATTCTTAGGAATTAAAACCGGAAGCAGTGTGCGCGCCTTTCTCATTTGAGGTCCGCGCACTCACTTGACTTATGCTCACGCCGGAAGCATATCTCGGTCATGAGGTCAACCCAAACCACAAGTCTCAAAGATTTGTTGTGTCCACACGGTCTTTAAAGTGATGATGCAAATTAGTACTTGTACATATGTAAAAGAAAATGACAACCGAGTTATTAGGAGCAGTTGAGGGCCAAGATTAACATTCCTTCAGGCATAGAATAAATCATGACCATGAGATCTGACTAGAAATCAATTACAAGCTTTATACAACAAGTTTATACAACACATTACTTGTAACATATTTTGCTTTTATCACTGTGTGTATGTTAATGTGCTTGAGTATTAGATCGTTTATAAGGAGGTACCGCTTATAACGAGGTAAAGTTGGCAGTCCAGACGACCTCGTTATAACGGGGTTTTCCTGTATAAGAATAATATGTAATGCTTACTATGACCATGCTTCTTTATCCATCCACGCTCTTCAAATCTAAATAATTAGTTACATATGATGAGTTAACTGTGTTAATTCTTATCGATATATGGAGGTTTGTTATTTCAAGAGTAAGTGTTTTGCAAATGTTGTTTAGTTTAATGCTGACCAATCGTTGGGACTGTCCCTTTTAAATTTGGCAATTTTGTTAAGGTTCTGTTTTGACATCCAGATAAGGTGTTCTTTATAGGCATATGTTCTGGCTTAGTGCAGAACTTTGTCAACATGTGCCTTTACTGCAACAGTGTTTTTTGGTTAAACTGTTAATAAAATACCAACTATATATATATAAAGTCATTTATTTGTCTTTTTTTTGTGTGTGAGTGTGACAAAATTGCATAATTTCACTATATATGAAATATAACGCCTGGAGTGCTAAAACATATAACACCAGTAGTGCTAAACATTACAAAACTGTTGTGTTCTGCACCTAAGTTGTGCAGTTTTTTAGCACTACTAGTGCTATTCAGAGTAGATTGTGGGGTTATTTAGCACCACCTGTCCAACATTCATAGCACTTGAAGTGTTTTTTTAGCACTTTTTAGTGCTTATCTATAGCACTTAAACTAGTGCTGAACTAGCACTTGCACTTGTGCTGAAATAGCACTAGCTGTGCTGTCCCTATGCGAGCACTGAAAAGGTGCTGAATATAGCCCTCCAAGTGCTAAAAATAGCACTACATTTTTTAGAGTGTAGATGAAGCAAAAGAGGTATTCTAACTAATTCAGAGAGCCGCTTGTTAAAGAAAGAGTATCAAATGTTATTTTCTCCTTTGTTGAGGAGGAAATGGAAATTAAAATGATACCGTTTTAAAAACCAGTTAGATATGGTTTTTGGACAAGAAGCATGAGATAATTCATTGCGCGGCAATCTGGACTGTATTTGAAACAGAGCATCCAATATTCCTGATAGTTAATAGTATACTGTCAATGAAAAATATAACTAAAAAAATTAATAATATTGGACCTCTTTACCCAAGGCTGTGTGTCTTTGTCGAGCACAAAATGATTCTGCTCGGGTATGCAGGCCAGTTGTTAGCCCATATTGGGCTTGAATCAACTCGCGAAGTTAGGGCGCTCTCATATGAGAAGTAAAACCTTGCCCATCATTGAATTCATGTTGTAAAGTTGTTTACAGACTCGAAAAGGAAGGCATGGGAGTGTACAGAGTGAATAAAAGGAAGAAAGTAATGTAAATTAAAAATTGGACATGGCTTTGGGGCTAACGCTACCGGCCACTGGCTACGCTGACGACCGCCAGCTAGGTGACGACCGTGTCAAAAAAAAGAAAAAAAAAGACCCCCAAAGGGGCTCCCTTACACTCTTTCCTACACTCAGCTGCTCCCCCCTCACCATAGGCCCTTTCTTCAATTTTGTTTGAGGAATCCATTGACATATTGAGATTTGGAACCCTTTCCCATACATCAACATTACTGCCAACAATAATTATTTTATCACTCTTTGAGTGAGATAAAAATGGGTTTAACATCAGTTTTTATTTTTCAAAGATTTATAAAAAAAAATTAAAAAAATTTAAAAAAAAAGCACTAAAAAAGCTGGGAGTCGAACCCGATACCTTCCAGATGCCAGGCGTTTGCCTATCCACTAGACCAATGTGTCACACTGGTAATCTCCATGTATTTTTTTTCATATTAATACTTCTTGTTGTAGATGTAGCAAAAGAGGTATTCTAACTAATTCAGAGAGCCGCTTGTTAAAGAAAGAGTATCAAATGTTATTTTCTCCTTTGTTGAGGAGGAAATGGAAATTAAAATGATACCGTTTTAAAAACCAGTTAGATATGGTTTTTGGACAAGAAGCATGAGATAATTCATTGCGCGGCAATCTGGACTGTATTTGAAACAGAGCATCCAATATTCCTGATAGTTAATAGTATACTGTCAATGAAAAAATATAACTAAAAAAATTAATAATATTGGACCTCTTTACCCAAGGCTGTGTGTCTTTGTCGAGCACAAAATGATTCTGCTCGGGTATGCAGGCCAGTTGTTAGCCCATATTGGGCTTGAATCAACTCGCGAAGTTAGGGCGCTCTCATATGAGAAGTAAAACCTTGCCCATCATTGAATTCATGTTGTAAAGTTGTTTACAGACTCGAAAAGGAAGGCATGGGAGTGTACAGAGTGAATAAAAGGAAGAAAGTAATGTAAATTAAAAATTGGACATGGCTTTGGGGCTAACGCTACCGGCCACTGGCTACGCTGACGACCGCCAGCTAGGTGACGACCGTGTCAAAAAAAAGAAAAAAAAAGACCCCCAAAGG